CTCCGGCCGCGCCGCCCCCGCCGCCGCTGGGGCGTGGGAAGGGAGGGAAGGGCAGGGCGAAACCCGCTTTCTTGGAGGGAGGCGAGAGGCCTGGCTTTCGTCGGATTTAGTAAAGAGAGGGTCTTCGTCCTCTTGGCTGCTGAGGAAGGATCTGGTAAATGTGACCCCCGCAAGAATATAAAACTAGAACTTTGTTTGTTTGTTTGTTTTAAGCCCCCTGCCATCAATTCCCCCTTTTTAAAAAAAAAAAAAAGTTAATCTCCTCTACTTTGTGACGCTTAGGGTTGGAAGTCCTACAGTATGGAAAAAAAACAGCTGGAGGATGGAAGGCAAAAGAAAATGGAGGAAATGTGTCCCCAGAAGCAAGTGGGTAGGAACAGGCTATTTCAAGACAATAAATCCAGCTAATGGTTTGGAAAGGGAGGTAAGCAACTTAATTTCTCCCTGTGGTGTAAAGCTGACTTGTAGATATTTGACCCCTTGAATGAACGCTACCTGGTTTCTTGGGGCTCTGCTTGAAGCCCTTGCTCTGGTGAAACACGTGTGGATGTTCAAGGCTTTCGTCTTCTCGCTGCCAGCCTGTGATGTGGGAGAACAGAAACACAGCAGCCTTCTGAGCAAAGGAACAAGATGCTGCTCCCCTCAGGATGCTTACTGTCCACAGGTTAAAAAAAAATGCTTTTTAGAAGCTCTAGGGGATATATCTATTTTGCAAAGGCAGACCTACGAGCCAGCACTGCTATGAACTACTTGTTCGTTGCTCAGTCCCATACAGAAAAATTATCTGGGTCTCAAAAGTAGGATGGTGGTGTGGATGTGGCACTGTGCCTTGCTAATCTGAGTTTTGGAAAGCTTCCCTAGGCCCGTGGCGCTGTCCTACAGAGACAGACCCCTCGCAGTGCTGGGGCCAGGAAATCCCTTTCCTTCCAGGGCTTATTCAGCAGCACACTTGGGTACCAGCACCTCTTGGATTTGGGCTTAAGATATGCAACTGTTACAGTGTAACCGTATTCTAGGGCTAAATCCAAAATCCCCTTTAAATAATATGTGGGTATCTGAGGAACGGCTGTCCCTGAAACGAGGAGATATCTACAGGAACTGAATATTAGACATGCATTTTGTAACTTGCTGGAGCACAACAAGACTGTGATTCCCCGCTCCAGCTGAGCTGTATTAACAGCTTATTTTGCTGGTTCCCGTTCCCACCTCGCCTAGGCTTTTCTTCTACTGTTCCTGTTTCCAGTTGCACAATTCCTCTTCTCTCTGCCTTGCACCAGCTCTGCTGCTCGCATGATCACACGGTAAGCCAATTCAGCCTGTTTACCAGCCAAAAATAATTTTCTTTCTGCTGTTTTAGTGAGTTGAATTGGCTTTGGGCTGCAATTTAATGTGTGCTGGAGTAAGGCCTTGGCAGAAGCACGTGTCCCAGAGGGAAGAAATGTGGGGAGGGGAGGGGAGAGGGGTACCTCTCTTGGCAGTGATGTGCAGTTAATTTAACTCGAGCCTTAATGTGAAGTTGGAGTTTGAGACGTTGCTACCTGTCAGTTACTTGCTACTCGTTCCCATCTTGGAGCTATCATCCCCATAGCAGAAATGGTGAAACAACAGGAGTGTTTTAGTGCTTCTTAATCTGAGTTTCTAACTAAAGGTGGTTTAGGTTCATTTGGCACGTTTTACCCCGAAGAAGATTCGGGTGCCTCCATGAATTCTGTTCTGCTGTCTAGATGGTAAAGTTTGGGCAGTACTTTGGCCCTGGCCAGAAGAAGGTGCCCGCTCTAGGCTTGCAGCGTGAGGAATCTTGGCCCTCCTTTAGTAGGCAGCTTTCATGCAAACAGCAGATGTTTCTTGGGAGCCAACTCTGCCTCTCTGGTGGCACAAAAAGAAACGAGCTGGAGGAGAGAAAAACCACGGGGAGGCTTGACTGGAAACAGGCTTTGGGGAGGGGGATTTGAAGTATGAAAGGATCGTGGCAGTAGTTTGTTAAAGCATTTATTTCTCTTTGTGAGCTGGAGAGGCCAGGGTGTTACCATTTTGGTTTGATGGAAGCCTGGCTGGCACTGAAGCAACAGCATTTGTAGACGAGGCAAAATTCAGCGAAGCTGGCAGGCAAAAAGAGTGCTTAAAGAGTGGTTAAACTCACTACGGAACCAGGTAGCTGGAGTAACAGGGCCACAGATCTATCCAGGATTACGTGGCAAGATTTACGTTAAAAAGCTAACTGTGTGACCAAGCGGGTTTTCCCTGGGAGCTCGTAAAACGAACACAGGGTGTTGAGGTAGTCATTGCTGGAGTTTTTCTATGTACGACATAAGAGCCAGTGAAACAGCCCTTAGAAAGCGATGCTGATGAGGGGGGAGCAGCCAGAGGTAGTAGCAGAGTACGTCTCTAAGGAGAAAACAGTAGAAAGAACTCCTGGAGGGATTAGATATGGTACCGGCTGAATTTGGGTGAGAACCAGTAAGGGGAAAAAAAAGTCTTGCTGTTTGTGCTTATCGTGTTGCAGGAAAAAGAACTGTATGATGTATGTAAACAAACAATTTTATATTAAAGATGCACCTGATTCTGTCATCAGTTTCTCCTTTTAATAGAAATAACTGTTGTGACCGAATTTTGGCTAGCTGCTGAAGTCCAGAGGGAGTAACTTGCAGAAAATGAAGTGTTAACCATTTTGAATTTTTTTTTTAATATTTTTCTGGTAATTTACTTGTGTAGGTCCCATCTGTGTCTTGGATCAGTGCAGTCCTGGATACTTGCTCCAGTGTAACCAAAAAAACCTCCAAACGAATCTAGATGTAGGTGCGGCAACTAGATCTCCAGGGAGAGATTTCTGCAGCCAGGCAGGCCGGGCACCGCTGGAGTCTGTTCTGTGTGGCGGGGACACTGGGTTTCTGTAAGCAGCAGGACTAAAATTAGCTTTGGAACATTTATTTCTCTTCCCCCCCCCCCCACCCCCTTGGTGTTGCTTTTACGTGAAATCTGTTGTTCATTGTTATAAAAGACAGGAAAAGAATTTGGGTTGAAGGCTTCTTTTTATTTATTTATTTATTTTTCTTAAGAAAAGAGATTTCAAAATCTCCAGTCTTTGGAATAGGAGGTAAATTGAGTTTTGAACTACGTAATTGGTTATGTGTTGTTTTTCTTTTTTCTATCATAGTGGAAAGAAAACATCACCACACCAAATACTGCATCAGCAAAAAAAATGCAGTCGTTGAGTGGTTTTATATTAATATTGTATCCTTGGTGTGTGCTATTACAAATACTCATTTTTAAAAGCAATCTAAACCATCCTTAGGCTTCTTTTATTGTTGTGTTTGGTAGCATGTCACTTGTTTGTTTGGCAGTTGTTTCTTTTCCACGGCTGAGTCCTTCCCAGTGTCTACTGAGCAGTTGCCTAGTTCTGATTTCAAGACCTTCCAATGTGGTTTTATGGAAAGCAGGATTTTATTGCACTGGATCTAGACTATGGCTGCGGAATAGCCTGCTTCTGAGACACATCCAAACTAGACTGAAGGCAGTGAGGGTGTTTGCATTAAAGCCTTGAATCCAAAGACACTGTTGTCTGTGGGCCCTTTCATGTATTTCGGAAACACAGTTATATCAACTTTCAAGCGCTGTAATACCAACTGCTGCAGTGTTGTGTATCACCACAGCTGTCATTTTCATGCTGACTTTCTTTCAGTCCTGCTGTTATTGGCTACCTAAGCTGTATCCGAAACCTTATCATTCATTTTCTTTTTCCTTATTCATAAATTGAGTCATAGTAGGCCGAAGCCATTTTTCCCTTTCAAAATGATGAGTGAAAAC